TTAAGTGGCGGCAAGTGGCCGGTTCTTACAGTGCTTTCTGCTGGCCATGCATTGCATGTATTTATCAACGGAGAGTTATCAGGTTAGTGATGAATAAACTGTAAGGGGTATTCACTCGACATTGAAATAATTTCATGACAAAATAAGGTTGGTATAGTTTTAATAATTACAAATACTAATCAAGGTTTATCTGGTTTTTCGTTGAATTGTCTTGTAAATTGTAATATTAAAATATCCACTTGATATAAAATTTCTGGTTTTCTAAGCAGATACGAATATCAACGAGATATAAATTTATACTATACTGGACATTTTTCACTTATAGCGTGTTTTAATTCGCTTATCTTTTACTTTTGCTTAATTACTCACAGGAACTTCTTATGGAAGTCTCGAAAATCCGAGATTTACTTTCAGTGAAAGCGTGAATCTAAAAGCTGGAGTGAACAAAATTTCTCTCCTCAGCATTGCAGTTGGTCTTTCGGTTTGTGTTCTTTTCATTTTCTCCACTAAGGCTTAACTTATTACAAAAAAAAAAACTCAGTTTTCGTTCAGAAATGACACGAGCTCTATTAGAATTTACACTTACTCACTTGGGGGTGCATTTGCAATATCGAACATGTTCGGGTTCATTTGCAATATATGATATTTTTTTATATGCAGAATGTGGGCCCTCATTTCGAGACGTGGAATGTTGGCGTTCTTGGTCCCGTTTCTCTCAGTGGTCTTAACGAAGGAAAAAGAGATTTGACGTGGCAAAATTGGTCTTATAAGGTTCAATTTTCATGTTTTCATAAGAGAGTTTAATCGAATAGTTTTTTGTTTGACCTTACATTACTTTTGTTTTTATTCGACTGTGAATATTTCTTGACAGGTCGGTTTAAAAGGAGAGTCTATGAGCATTCACTCACTTACTGGAAGCACTTCTGTTGAATGGGTCGAGGGATCATATGTCAGCGAAAGACAACCGTTAACGTGGTACAAAGTAAGTACATTTTGTCCTATATTTTAACTATGATTATTCTTTTTGTCGAGGAGTTTTGTAGTAAGACGGTTAATTATCCGTCATGCACTCCAAATGTCAAAAACAAACTCTTTTGCTTTTCACATATTTACCTCATCGAGTAAAAGAAACTAAATTTATGCTGCTACATCGTTCGTTTAAACTTTTATCGTAAGATTTTTCATTTTTTTTTCATGTGAATTTATCATAAGAAGGTTTCTGTTTGCTTCAACATGTTAAAAAACCCAAAAACAAAATTTTCACCTAAAAGAAATTGTATAAATTAACATTTTTCAAACATGACTAATGCTCATATTCGCCAATTTCTAATGAAGATTCGACTAAATGCATAGCCGTTTGACATGTATTTTTTTTTTTGGTAATCATTTATTTCACAGGCCACTTTCAATGCTCCGGATGGAGACGAGCCGTTGGCTTTAGACATGAACACAATGAGCAAAGGCCAAATTTGGATAAACGGTCAAAGCATTGGTCGGTATTGGAATCAGTACAAAGCATTTGGTGACTGTGAGCCCTGCAATTACGCTGGCTCGTTTAGCGAGAAAAAATGCCTATCCAATTGTGGCGAAGCTTCCCAAAGATGGTAAATTAATTCGGTTAATTACACGGTAGTTAAAATAAGTAACCCAAAGATACATTTGAAAACTGACATGGATTTTTANTTTTTTTTTTTTTTTTTCAGGTACCATGTTCCTCGATCCTGGCTTTACCCGACCGGGAATCTTCTTGTCGTGTTCGAAGAATGGGGAGGAGATCCTTACGGGGTCAATTTGGTCAAAAGGGAAGTTTCGAGCGTGTGTGCCGATATTTACGAATGGCAGCCGAATTTGATGAACTGGCAAATGCAGGCATCGGGAAAAGTCGACAAGCCACTGAGGCCCAAAGCCCACCTCTCGTGTGCCCCCGGACAAAAGATCACGTCCATCAAGTTTGCTAGCTTCGGTACCCCTCAGGGGTACTGCGGTAACTTCAGCGAGGGGAGTTGCCATGCGTTTCATTCTTACGATGTTTTCGAGAGGGTAAATTGATAATTTAATTACCTCATTTTTTTTTATTAGGCTAAGGTAATGTTTGGTAACCAAATAAGCTAGCTTATAACTTATTTGGTTAGCTTATATGTATTCAAACAAGTTTCGTTTGGCAGGACAAGCTTTTTTAAAAACCTCGAGCTTATCTCATAAGCTTTTGGGGTAATTTTTCAAATAAGCTCGTTGAAATTTTTATTTCAGCTAGCTTATCACCTAATTTACCAAACACATTTGTTACATAAGTTAGATTTTCAGCTATAAGTCATAAGTTATAAGTTATAAGCTTGAATCACTTATAAGTTTTAAACAAACTTATCAGCTAGTTTTACCAAATATAGCCTAAATATGAAGCTAAATATGACGGGTAGCTCATCGAATATAACATTTGCTTTCTTTTGTTACAGTATTGTGTCGACCAAGAATCTTGCACGGTGCCTATTACACCCGAGATCTTTGGTGGGGATCCTTGTGCAAATGTCATGAAGAAAGTGTCAGTCGAGGCCATTTGCAGCTAAGGAGATCAATATAATTTGAAGACAACAAGAAAATCAAGATTTGCTCATTTTGTTTGTCCTGCAATTTTTTTACAAATTTATTGGGACCTTATTTTTTGTCCGGGCTTTTGGTAGGGGTGAAGTTGTACATATAATGCAACACACCATCTGAGTCGAAAGCTTCCTAGTACATTATGAAGGTAAAGAAAATATGCATATACTGATATATAGCCGTTAAGTTGTCGATTTTGTGTTGCAAAACTATAGAATGCAAGTGTGGTGGGGGGATAAGATGAAGGCACATTGTGACTTTACGATGAGTCCATGCGCAAACTCATCTCTCGATCAGTCAGAAGCTATTGGCTTTTGTATGATCTGGGCTTGTATATTTTTCTAAGCGTATGAAAAATAAAGCAATGCTCCATTGCTTTTTACCCTTGTAAGAACTTTCAAGTTCATTAATGTATCAAGATTTGTTGATGAAAGTTTATCTCATGAAGATTGTAGCAAGTTTTAACTTTTGGAAATGCTACACTAATAATCATGTGAAGAGTGATGTTTGATGTATGTCACTTGTTGAGTCATGGACTCAATCCTATTCAATGAGTGTGTTTAATACGTAACATACGTTAGTTTATATCTTATTTGGTTAGATTATAAACTTTATTTATATAAATAAGCTTTGTTTGTAGGATGAACTTTTTTGAGAAATTCGAGTTTATATCATAAGTTCCTTTTCAAATAAATTTTTTAAAATTTTTACTTCAGTTGGCTTATCAGTTAATTTTACCAAATATTTTTATCATATCAAGTCAGTTAACTTTTCAGTCATAAGCTATCAGATATAAGCTCAGAATTCATTTGTAAACTATCACTTAGTTTATAAGTTTGTTTTACCGTACATAGTCTATGAGTATGAATTCTAAAAAAAATTTAATATATATATTATGAAAAATGCTATAGATACATCTATACTTATATAAAAAGGCATTCTATTTACTATAATTAGTAGTAAGAAAAGTCAAAGGTAATTATATATTTTATTTCCATCAAGTATTTTATTTAATTATTTTAGTTAATTGTTTTATCTCATAACACCTTTTCAATACAACTTACCATGATTTTTCTACTGTGATTAAAAATCAAATTTTACGTTTAAAATCTTGTGAAATTATTATTATTATTTTTATAAAGCAAATATTATTTGTTAAAAAATTGTATATATATATATATAATACACATCATAGTACCATGATAGATGATTTAAATTTCAACCGACCAAAATGCCAATGATTTAAACTTGAACACACTTATGCGTTTGACCAAATGTCTATGATTTAAAATTGAGCCCATAAAAAATTATTTAAATTTGAACACACCAGAAATTTTATGTACTTTTTATTTATAAATATATTGAAAGTGGTAAATATATTTGCAATGAATAAAAGTTTGAATGAATAATTTGTAATGTTATTCATAATGTTTGTGACTTATGAGACACGAACACATAACTGCATACATATTTGCAGAGTGCGGCTTAATAATTTTTTAGACTTAATGTTGATCAAAAAGAGGTAGAAAATAGATAATAACATTATTATTTTTTAGACTTAAACGGACAAGAATGTGAAAATAACTCATTTAATATCTTTGTCACGTGCATCGCACGAGGTACATACTAGTAATATTATACGTACGAGTGAAATTTAATATACTACCATATCAAATGGGTAAATTGCACCAAACCCCCCTGTAATATACTAAATCTGCGCGTTTTCCCCCTGTATTTTAAAAATTGCGCCATACCCCCTTGTAATATACTTTTGCATGCACACTCTCCCTGCTACGTTAACGCCGTTACAAATCTCCCTGACGGCGTTACTTTTTGTTCAATTTATCATTATAAAATTCCTTTATCCAAGAATTTACGATTATGCCATCCAAGAATTTTATATAATATTATATATAATATAATATTATTTATATATTATATGTAACATTTATTATAAATTTTATATATAATATATCATATATTATATATATAATATAAAATATATATATATAATAATCGTAATATATATATTATATTATAAATATAATAAATATATCATTTATATATTATATGTAACATATATATATTATATTATAAATATAATAAATATATTATTTATATATTATATGTAACATATATATATTAATCGTAATATATATATTATTTTA